AGAGAGAGAGAGAGAGAGAGCGTGAGCGAGAGAGAGAGAGAGATATCAAAAACAGCTAGGAATTTTAGAAATACGGATATTTTTTATATTTTTTTCAATAAAAACAAATAGACTGCAGCAACAGAGGTCCTAAGCAGTCAACGCCAGTACATTACATATTTATCCAAACTTCATCAAGGCCATGAACATAAACATGCTTCCTAGAAGCATACATATGTTCATGGTTCTAAGGTTAATATAACTAGATGCCTAGATAACTAGAGCCCAGGATGCATGCTGGCTACATCGATGGCATAATGTGAATCATGTAGATAACATTATTATGCCAGATCTACTAACAGTAACAGCTAAATATTGCGTCAACTTACAGAACTCAATGATTACAGCTAGATATCATTATGTGGAGTATAAACTACCATATATATACGATTCTCTTCAAACTTCAAAGCTAGAAAGTATTTATTAACACTAAACACAGTTATTTACAGCGAATAGAGTATGGCGGCCTAAGCCTAGTTTAGCACCCCGGATCAGCTCAGCCCATATATATGCGAAAACACATTTGCGGGGGTACCAAACTATCCTTGATCCAGTATGCCTATCATGGCCATAAATGTAAATACCAGGGGCCGGTTTCACGAAGCGTAATTAAGTCCTTAATCATGATGGACTTCCCGACTGAATGTTCCTTTCTGAAAGTGACTTTCTAAAGTGACTGTTTCACGAAGCGTAATTAACTTTAATCATGATTAGCCTAAGATTAAGCCTAAGTTAAGCCTAGGACACACTAGCGATTCTGTACGCTGCCCGGCAGCGTATATGTTCGCTCACGATTTTAGAACGCCGTACGAGTTGCGCGTACAGCTGGACACACTGTCCGGTGTCTAACCACTCTAACGGCTTTCCTAGCTTTCGTTGCTACACTTGATTGGCTGCTAAAAACAATCGCGTTCGAACACGATTGTTCATTGTTGGGCACGCTGGTGCAAGCGCATGCAAGCGCATGCGCTGTACGCAAGCGATGAAAAACCGGGCGGAAATATTCAACATGTTGAATGCGAACGATCAGCTGGGCGTATGGGATCGCGTGTGAAATACGCTGCCGTGAGAACGGACACACCGCGCGGACCCGGCACCGTATTTACCGATCGCAAGCGGCCAGCGTAGAAAATCGCACAGTGTGTCCTAGGCTTAAATCACAATATTTAATTCTACTCGGGAGCATGATTAAATCCACTAATCATAATTAGTTGCTAGTACTGCTAGTATGTAGGTAGTACTAGTATATTAAGTAGGCTGCAGATTTTACAATTGAAAATTTTACTTCCATTTTTTCCCAAGGAAATTTAAATTATCTAAGATTAGCGGTACTAATTTAGTCATTATAATTGCAAATTAATTCCCTTTTCATGTACCGAATTTGGCTGCACAGGGCTGACACAGGCTACTACTACTAACATACATCAGCTTGGAAAGAACAGGGAACCTAATACCAGGGTTCTCCAAGCTTTTTCATTATAGCATGGCGGGTGCTGCCTTTACGGTCCTAGTTGCAAATCACCGAAGGCGGTTTGCGTGCTAGGGGGGTGCGGGGGCTATGATATTTAGAGTGGCGGGTGCATTTTAGGATGGCGGAGCTCGACGATAGCCTGGTGGGCCGCCAGGCTATAAGTGCTCTTGGAGAACCCTGAATACGCAGTGGATATTTATCCGTATACGGCAACAAGGATAGAAATTAACTTTTGAACAAGGGATTCCCTGCCCTCAAAAAGAGGGAGTCCTCAGCAAAATGAGGGAGTCCGTAATCTGAAGTTCAAAATTAAAGATATTTTAACAATAACGCACGTGCTTATTTAGAAGATTCATGCGGTTGCACGTCTTCCAAATTTTCTTTGGACATTTGCTGAAAAAATATGGAAATTCCGCGAGGCCATGCTCTGGAACGAACTAGTTAGTATAGCAGAATTTTCAGGGGGTCACACGGACTCCTGCATATGTCAAATCAGGGAGTCCGACAGTAAATCAGGGAGTATTTGACTCCAGACTCGCGTTAATTTCGCACCCTGTGGCAGAGTATCCACTTCCGCTATTTTACCGTAGTATGTTAGTATATTAATATTATTATGAATGTGTTCAAAACGTTTCGTATTGGAAACGTGACTCACGAAAAATAGCTTCTATGATAAAACGGGGCTACAAATGTGTAGAAATAAATTGGATTTGAACCTAAAACTAAAAGTTTTCTAGATAGAGCTAAACCTTATGGGATTCGAACGTAATGTTGATGGCGTCATAAATCACAGGCACTTGAAGCGTTTCAATCAAATATAATGCTAAATAAATACGAAATCTATTTACTACCAAAGTCTTAATATGTTTCTATACTCTCTTTCACCTATTATTGCCGACAATTTCCTGTAAATGCCTTCCAAATACTCATCTACAACAAACATTGGCTGCCGCCAAGCGCCATTGCTGCCACTGCAGTGCTGCACACTGACACTTATATATATAGCAGGTAGGAAAGCGGGATCGCTAAATTCGCTCGACGCTCGCTTGATTTCACGCCTTCACAGCACGAATACACATCCAACAGCTTCCATCTTTGTTTCTATTTCAAGAACAATGTTCACTTGTTATGAAAACCTACTGTCTCTGTTCGTAACCGAGCTGTGTCACGCGAAATCACACAAAGACTGACGAAATTCTCGTGTTCGCTAACGTTGCCCAGTAAATGTAAATGACTGCAAGTACAGGGCTATATATAGACTGGTACTCGCTCCCACCTCGATTACCCACACTAAGCTATGCCGAGAGCTGGGAGCGAGTACCAGTCTAAGAGCTATAGGCGGCGCACTGCTTTCCAACTCCCGTACGAGCCTCGCCATTGGAGCGTTGCAAAAACGTTGCAGCGTTGCGGTGCAAGAATGAGGTCACAAAGAGCGCCGGTGGGTGTTTCCTGACTCTGACACTCATTTACATTTACTGGGCAACGTTAGCGAGCGCGAAAATTTCGTCAGTCTTTGTGTAATTTCGCGTGACACAGCTCGGTTACGAACAGAGACAGTAGGTTTTCATAACAAGTGAACACTGTTCTTGAAATAGAAACAAAGATGGAAGCTGTTGAATGTGTATTCGTGCTGTGAAGGCGTGACATCAAGCGAGCGTCGAGCAAATTTAGCGATCCCGCTTTCCTTCCTGCTATATATATAAGTGTCAGTGTGCAGCACTGCAGCGCCAGCGGCAGCAATGGCGCTTGGCGGCAGCCAGTGTTTGTTGTAGACGAGCATTTGGACGGCATTTACAGGAAATTGTCAGCAATAATAGGTGAAAGAGAGTATAGAAACATTAAGACTTTGGTAGGTAGTAAATAGATTTCGTATTTATTTAGCATTATATTTTATTGAAACGCTTCAAGTGCCTGTCATAAATATACTAATTACGAATTACTAGCCAATCAAATATGGGTCCGTACGGTAAAATAACGGAAGTATTAATATTATTATTAATAATGTTAATTTGATTTCGCGAGTGTAGTGATAATAAAAAACACAAAAGTACATAAAAGTACACAAAACGCGTATCCTTAGATCTACCTATCTCGTGTTGTCCAGGATTGTCAGAGATTTCCAGTACAGCCAGCAGTTCCCCGTTGACGCTGGTCTCTTCAAGAGCGTAAAGGTTGGTGATGTCTGGACATTTTTCATGGACACGTTCTAATACTTTCTTAAGTTCCTCATTGTCATGATGCTTGAATTCGAACTCTGGTTCGCTGCACAGTATAAACACGCACTGAACTAAAAGTGCTACAGCTACAAATGTCTTCATCTCTTCCTTGTGGCAAATTTTTCCACCACAATATGGAATCTGCGGACTCAGATGTTTGTTGTCGATGTTTCGTCTCTGCTACTGGCGAAGGTGGCGACTCGTTGCGGTGAGAGCATGCGTGGGAGTCAAAGACGTCAGAGTGACGTCCCCAATCAATATACTGTATCTAGTTTCTCTATTCTATACTATATAGTCAATAGTGTATGTTCTACGTCCGATTTTTTTTGTAATCATATAAGAGCATTATTGTTGCTAAATAGTACTATAATAACACACACTGGCGCCCACATATCAGTAGTAGCAAAGAAGGATAAAATTCTCAGTGACTGTATCACACCGCGTAGTCTTGTTCTATGTGTTCCCGCCTTGTACGTGTGAAGGGTCACGTGGTGTGATCGAGGTAGTTGGAAGATGGCGGAATAAGAAGTGGACGAATAAACTATGTGTGTTATCTTTCACTCTGAGTTATGTTTATACTGGCGTGTTACAGTGACAATAAAAAGCAGGCTCACTGAATGCTAGGGGGGTCTGGGAGTGGGGGCATGCCACCCCCCCTTAAAATTTTTGAAAGGTAGACGTCTGCATGGAGATGCAATCTGGTGAGTCTTGCGAGAGAGATTTAGGAACAAAATGTAGGAACAAAATTTTTTATCCCAAAATTTACTGGAAGCACTGTGCTTCCAGTACTTCTATCTGCGGGCGCCACTGATAACACATACATGTACGTATGTGTGTCTGCGTGCGTGCGTGAACTTTGAAGCCGGACCATCATGAGAACCTCATGTTACCTCACCTCAGATTGCATTAGCAAGTTTACAGAATCAATATACATGCACAGCTATAGTGAGCCTGAAAAACACCGCGATGTTCGGCCCGATTATGTCGGTATGCCATGCCTATATTATTATAAGCCAAAAGAGAAATGAAAGAAGAAAGGTTTTGGGGAAAAAACAAAAACCTGTAGACAAATATAGTTCAATTTGCAGATTTTTATATCGGAATACGCTTCTGGCTTAACAAAGGAAAAGGACAAGAGGCCTATCTTACAACGTTATTTATGTAAAACTTTATTGGTACTAAATATGTGAAAGAATACAAGAGAAAACATTTATGATTTCTTGCAAAGCAATGATGATGCACGGTCGGCTGACGGTCGTAGATGGCGCCACTGTGAATATTGTAAAAATAGCAACGAGACATTCCGATGCAGATGGTTCAACCGTGCAGAACGTTACATTAACGGAGCGACACTCCTCTCTAGATGGCACCACCATCACACATATAACATTGACGAATGACACTCACGTAGCTGGCACCACCGCACACATGACATCAACGAATGACACTCATGTAGATGGCACCACCATCACACACATATAACATCGACGAATGACACTCATGTAGATGGCACCACCACCACACACATAACATCGACGAACATGTAGATGGCACCACTACACCCATATAACGGGTGTTGCTATTCCCCGGGCGTGGAGGGACGGTCCCGCAACGTGGCAGCACTAGTGTTAGGATTAGGGTTAGGCTTACAGTTAGGGCTAGGGTCAGGGTTAGGGTTTTTGCATTATGATATCTGTCCCCACACCATAGATTAATTTTTGTGGATGACACCCCTATATATAGAGATCCGATATATAGATATTTAGTGTTAGGGTTAGTTTAGGGTTATGGTTACTGTTAAGTTTTGAAGTATATGTCAACTGTATCACGTGACCGTCCCTCCACGCCCGGGGGATAGCAACACCCACATATAACATCGACAAATGACGATCATGTAGATGGCGCCACCACGCATAACTGGCAGTGTCGACAGATCCTGGGCCTCGCGGATCGGTTTGCACCAGCACACTAAGCTGCTCACCCAGCTGACAGAACACGCATCTCACCCCTCAGGGGGGGCCACTTCCTACAAAATAGGGTAGGTATGTGCCACTTGAAAGATGGAATTGGGGGGCTCCAGTACTAACTCAGCACATCAAAATGGGGGGGGGGGGCTCCGGAACGTGCGGAAAAAAGTAGGACATATGCGCAGGGACGGAAAATATGTGAGAAGGGGTCTCCGGAACGGAAAATATGTGAAAAAGGGGTTTCCAGAACGGAATGTGAGAAGGGGGTCTCCGGAAAGGAAAATATGTGAAAAAGGGTCTCTGGAACGGAAATTTTGAGGTGAAAAGGGGATCTCTCTCGTGGCACATACCTACCATACAATATATAGGGAGTGCCCCCCCGGGACAAAACAACACCTACCCACCCACCTCATAGGTAGCATCGTATCTCAACTATAGATGGCGAAACACGCTGCCCGATGAAATCGTGGCTAGACGTTGTATCGCAGATGGAGACTAGCGCAGTTGCACCAAGCTACTACTACACGCAACGATCTGAAGTTAGCTTAACAAGCTGAAAGAATCGCTGGCAATCGCCAGCAACAAAGGTAAAACTATACAAAAATCGCGGATCCGTGCAACTATACCTATTAGCCTATTAATCTACGAGCATGTGTTTCAACCAGGAGCATCCTTTATAATAATGGGATTTTAGCCGCAGGTGGGTATAGCCTCACATCAGCATACGCCTGTTTAGATGCATGTTCTGGCCACCGAGACGCACGCTTCCCCGACCGACCACCTCACCTATTGATAACCATCTTGGTAACATAACATTATTAGACAAGGTAATCATTCTTCTAAGATATACTGTACCACAAATGCAAAAATACACAAGACGGGTTTTAGACGTTTCTCGGGACGCTGTTTCCATACAATACTTGGCTAACTTTTAACATCAATACCATCTGCTACCCTACAGTGCCATGCTGGGGAGTGTGCGACACACACACACGCACGCACGCACGCACGCACGCACACACACTCCCCCTCTCTCTATCTAGCTATCTATCTGTCTCCCCCTCTCTCTCCTCTAGCTCCCTTGCACACACAGTACAGAAATCAGTTCACGTTGGACTCATTCTTGGGGCCGCTCCCTTCACAGACCATTGCCACTGTAGCAGGTTACACGATGTAACATGATGCATCAAAACTGCCAGACGAAATTGAAATAGTGTGTAAACGACACAACGAACTCATGAAATGGAATGACACGACATTCACACGCGCACACTTACACGCGTACACGCACGCGCACGCGAGCGCACGTGCATGCACATACATGACTCATATACACGTGCACGCACCTGTGAACAACTGGGTTAAAAACTCATCCGCCTGTAACGTAAGTAAGTATTGTATTCTACCATAACTAGTAAAAAGTAATCTAACATGATTAGCAGCCTACGCAGAATACATGACGTACCGCACACAAGTCGACTGGCAGTTACAGTGGCACTGCATTGTCTTGCCACCTAGGCTCAGCTATAACTAATCCAGTACGGCGTGAATACACGGGCGATTAAAACGAACGAATGCTACGTTACATGTAAAAACATCACATCTCGCTACAAACGGTAATACACACAAGTATTGATAAACCTTTTTTTGACAGATAAACAAAAAAAAAACAGCAGGCTAACCACAACGTGACCTAGCTGAATTAAGTGCAAAATTTTCACTTATATAATAAACGTGGATATATATAATATATATATATAATACCAAACAAACAAAAAACATCGCTGCTTAACCATAATACAGCACTACTTGTGGTCGAGAAATGTGAAAGTTCTCGCATCTAATACCATCACGACATTATTGAATAACAGCCACAAACCAAACAAAGCTTCATCAAATACCAACGAATAAAGCGTCTAACATAATTCGATTAATACAAAACAATTGGAATACTATAGGCAACATATATGCATAATCGTAACCTAAACAACCACGCGGTGACGGGACCAGACTCTAAGCGCTGCCACGACACTCCAGTTGTAACCGTGGCAAACAAACAACACGTCACACAAATTTTTGATCCACGATTTAAACACTGAGCACACACGGTTGACGCATTAGGGGCCGCTAGGTCTCTCTCCCTGGTATAAAATCTGTTCCAAAACCGCATGAACGAATCCCATACCTCGTCATACCAGCTTGATTGCCAGTGCACCCTACCTCAACCCTCACATTCTCAGCAGTAACCGTAGACAAATCGCTGTAAGCGCGAAAAGTAAAGTATATCAACTACCGGCTCAAAGTTCAAACTGCATGCAGTGCCCCTTCGCTCACTCAGGATACCACTGCCACAATGCTAGCACTATTTTTAAAGTGGGCGGAGCTCGGGGGAAATCCAGCGAATGGAGATTCGTAAACAGAGTATGATTTGAAAGAGGTAAATGGGCGCACAATCCGCGTACTATTTCGTATCACTATTTTATCAAATTTGTCATGAAATAACGGTCGGATTTTTAATATCTTTGCAACTTTTATTAGTCCATATCTTATTACATAGGATACGAGTAACGTGCCTGCTGTAAAACTTGTAGTAAAAAAGTGTTATAAATTGTAACCGAAATCTACTTGTGGCAGTGGTAGATTGAGCCCATGAGCGAGAGCACCATCTGTCGTGGAGTTTGCTACCGGCTATCCACGACTCGCCGTAGACACCGGTGCCACCTGCTGGGACACAACGTTTGGTCAACATCACCTTCAGTCTGATCCCCATTAATGCTTAGAGACCATCAATAGGTTCACGAGATAGGTTCCTAGACCCCTCAACTAACCTCGCAGCTCCTCTCTTGCACTTTATGTAAGTAGCGATGCAAGAGGGTGTCACAGGACAGCCATCTAGTCAACGATTAATTTCTCCTCGCGGGGAAAATATCTAAAATGCTCACCCATGAAACAGAAGAGCGCTGATATTTCACACGGTCACGCAAGGGCGCGCATATTCCATACAAAGACGAAATAACCTTGGTTAAAACACAAATTTCCCTACTATATCATCCCTCCCGCCCACCCCTCTCTCCCCCTCTCCCTCTCTATCCCTTCCCTTTCTGGTAGTATGATGCGTACAGTTTCAGGCATGATTCATCCGTGTGTCTCACATGAAGACGAGCAAAGAGTTCAGCGACAAAGATACAAGATGCAGACGCGGGGAAAGCAATCACCTGAACCCATCTCAACCAGGTGCCCTCTACAATTCCTCCCCACAAGCACCTCCATCTTAAAAAGGGTATCTCATGGCGACCAAAACGAATCACGCGAAAACTTCGCACGCGGCATTTCCATTCCGCAGAAACGGTGCTCGATTCCGGGGAATCCGGCGGAGTTCCGCGGTCGACGCCTCGGCCAATCAGGTGTGCTTTCGCGGCGTCTGCTTCCATGTCCTTGCTGCAATGGTGGTGATTACGAGTCGAGCTTGGCGAGCTCGCTGGTGTAGATGCCGATGCTTTCCATGTCACACAGGACAAAATATATCTGCAACGAGTGCGAAGAGGAGGATGAGCGAATACAGGCAGACTGTCCGTTTCGCAAATGCAGAGCTACCGCATTTACTCGTGTATAAGTCGCATTCGTGTGTAAGGACTCGCACCCCCTATTTTGCCTTGAAAAGTTTCTACAAACATTGGTGCATTAACAAGATTCCTTAGCCTCGTGTATAAGTCCCATTCCTGATTTTTTTTATTGAAGTTGTGTACAAAAAAGGGCAGTCTTATACACGAGTAAATACGGTATACTATCCATCTAAGTAAGTTTACCAGGCCCCCCCCTCAAAAAAAAAATGTTGTTGCTAGACCAGTTCATACACGTGTTTTACGCGTAGACGCTGCATCACCAATTTTGCAGTACTGCGATCCTAAAACACTGTCTCTTGGATTGTTCCATCACAACAGCACGTCGCTTCCATGTGTAAAGACCAGAGACGTGTGACGGCGCGAGCGAGAACGCGCTGCGCTCACTCCTTATAGGGGGTTAGGGGGTTGTCTTCCTCCTGCCTCCCTCCCCCTCTCCTCCCACCTCCCTCCCCTGTCCTCCTATCTCCCTATCTCAACACCTCCAGGATCCTTTATATTTTGCATTTTCTTTTTTGAATGTCACTTAGTTTCTCTGACAGTTTGCGTAATAAATGTATTTATCCTGTACAATGTATTTTCTCATGTGTTTATTTCTCGTGCAATGGATTTCTTTTATTTTTCTCTACTTAGTATACTCTGTCTCTCGCTCTCTCTTTCCCTCTCTCTCTCTCTCTCTCTCTCTCTCTCTTTGTTTTGGATGAAAATCCTCCCGCCCACTGGCCTCCCTACTCCCGCTCCTTCCCCTCCCGCTCCCCGCCCCCTTTTCTCCCATCTCCCGCCCTCTCCTCTCCCGTCTCTCGTCCCCCCTTCTCCCGTACCCCCGCCCCCCTCTTACCTGCTTCAGTGATGATGACATCGTCGTGACAAAGTGGTTGGAGATGGCTTTCAGAATCACCTGAGCCGCCGCTTGCTTCGGAAAACCGTTACTGCAAAAAACAACGCAACACTCTCCATCAGCGGCATAGACAAATCTGCATTGAATCTCGTGTTGTCGCCCGGGTTCTTTTTTTGTGTTGCGCTCGTCATCAAGTCCTGCGCATAGAAACTGCACGTGGCATTACGATTTTACGACAAGTTTATCATCGAGCCTGATCCCATACACCAGTGGACATGGCCTCTCATACGAATATCACAGAAACACGGATATCAATCTCAGAACACAGGCATATGTATACACTGAAATACACATACCCACACATATGCATCACAACACGTTCATATATATATACTAACTCAACAACCATATTTCTGTTGCGAGTGACAACGTACCGGCTCTCTGACTCCTACCCTTCACCCCCACCCAGCCTAGCATACCGCCCGCGGAAAGAATTGTGCCACGTATCCATGGCGACACATCGTCGCAGCGATACTCACGCTCCTTGTGAAACGGCAGGAATGGCGACAGACTTCAAGTTCTTCTCGTCCGCAAGGGCGAGACAGTTTTTAATGCACTTCTCCAGCATCTGGTGCGCGTTGCCGCCGCCCCAGCCCGGAGGGTGACAGTGGATCACAAACTTGGCAAGGAAATTGTGTCCACTACAGATGGCCGCTGAAACGATAGCATTACTGGTAACACCGCTGCAGGCTCTTTCCTGCTACACTGCTACTATACTACTACAGTATGTTACGTATCCAATCGAATACGCCGCAAGAATGCTAACTATAAGGCACTATAGTAACCGATAAGGCATCAACTATTACAGCCGAATGATAAACTTATTTTAATTTGTAGAACCCTACAGGTCCGTGTCTCTGGCCACGATTCACTCAGCACCATGGTAAAAAATACACGGGAGCGATGAGCGATTCGCTCTTCAAACCTCCGAAATCGCTCCTGTGAGGCTCAAAATAGCTCCCGAACAATTTTTGACGAGAGCTATTTTTTCCACAGACTTTTGCAAAAAAGCTCCCGTGGAAAAAAGTCATTTTTCCCCTGACTCGCCGCCGCCTCTCTGGTCGTCGCCACGCGCCGCGCCCGTCTCGCGCGTCGCCATGGCAACTTACCTCCGCCCACATCCAGGGATCCATTGGAGGCCAGTAGGTCTCGCACCTCCTGCTGGAACTCCTTGCCTCCGACCTTCTCCAGTGCTGAGCCTGTAACGTATATCGACGGCATCAAGAGTAAGATAATAACCCAAGAGTTAGCAAAGAAAATACACATTTTCTCATAAAATTTTGCCACCAATAAAGAAGTGTATACGTTTCTAAGTACCACAAAGGTGAGTGATTAGTGGTCATAATAAGCTGAGGAACGTATACACTTTCTTCTTTATTTGGTTAACTTACTATCGATCGAGTGTAACACACCACGAACTTCATGATGTCACCTGTTGCCACCTACGGTGACGTCGCATCCCGATGAAGATTTCCCGAAGGGAGATCGAAAATTTCTATAGTAAGTTCATTTCTTGGATTTAACACAGGATAAATCTGAATTCACAGTTATCAACGGCATCTTTCACGAGACCGGTCCTATTAAATCGCACACAACAGATTTTTCACTGGATAAAATCGCAAGCGAGGTAGCAGGGTCGAATCAGCGAGTGCTGATAACGTGCTGATGCGAGCGACTTTGCAACGTGGTTGCTTAGCGTATGCCTGGCTGTGTGTGCGTAGCACGTGGCAAGCATGGTAGCGCCGCAGTGTTTTCTGTTGTGTGGCAGCACTGATCAATGCACGGGGGTGCGGGTAGGGGAACGTAGAAGGAGAACCCGAGAATTTGCAGCGAGGCGGCAATATCGACAAATATTAAGTGACGCGGATAAAAAAAATCAGCAAGGCACCCCGCTTCGCTTATCATAAACAAGGAGAAACACTAATGTAACATTACGATGAGTATTTATTGTGTGCTCTGAACAGAACAAATTGTAACTACTTATGGTAGCATCTTTTGTGAGTTTACAATGAATAATCCTTCCTATATTTGTAATCTTCACCTTGACATGACCAATCAATAAAGATCACACGAAATTACGGGATTGCCATCCTTTAAAGTTATCCATTTTAAAGGCATAGTAGGTCCATCGATTATGCAACGTTGACGAATGCTAGAATAACTGGCACCTTGTGTAGTTAATAAGTACATTACCTTATAGCCAAACGCGTATTAGTTTGTCCAATATCACTGTTGGTTACTAAGAAATGTCTAATTGAAATCCGTAAATTTGGTAATCTGGCGCCAACGCTAAATTGCTTGCCAACCAAATAAGCCTCGATTTCGGTTCGGTGACGTCACATGTTGCTACAGGATGTTGAGCAGCGAATTGTTTGTCCCGGGTAAATTGTTTGCCTGGTGACGGCAGTCGTAATCAGTATCAAGCACCCTTGGTTGCTAATGAACGGGTACCCACATGTCTTCAATTTCGGACACAGGTGTATTCGTTTGACCAATATATGTAGTGCCGTTTGCTTCCCATGTTTAGTCTGTGGCTGTGGTTAGTTCGGGATCCCCACATAGTGTTGGCCCCCAACATGCACAGCCTACTTCATTTATCACAAGCGTCTGTGATTAGTACGTGGATTCCACTTTCATTACAATCAGAGCTAGTGTAGGGCCTACTGTTACGTATACAGTTACGGCACTGTACTATCAGGATGGTACTATCGCTAGCGTGCCAGCTGAGCGGCAGCGTGCCAGCTGAGCGGCAGCGTGCCAGCTGAGCGGCAGCGTGCCAGCAGCAAGAGCTTGCAATAGCTGGAGATGATCTCCCAGTGCGCAGAGATACTGCCTGAACGTAATAAACAGGGACGCTCGTGATAAGGTAAAATGACAAGGTAAGGATATAACGTTTTATCGGGGCTGTCCGTTTATAGTCCGTGGGTGTCCGTCAGTTTTCGTTCGTGTGTTCTGCACCATTTACGTGTTTCCCATTTCATAGTGTAATGAACTTGCTGTATGCAGGTTCGTACGATTCGTCAAATTGGGTTCTAATATCCTTTTCACATATTATATGTTGCTTGTAATCTCAAGATCTTCGTATATTCATTTATTCCCAAGAGTAAAACCATAACGTACGGAATGCGCACTCAGACCACAAGGATCGAAATCACTGACGGCCGAGCATACGTGCGAAAATGTCCGGTGCACTATAATCTGTATGACACCGCTTCGCCGGTTACGGCCGGTCATAGCCGGTATAGCGGGTTGAAACTGTCAACAACGGATTTATTTGACCGCGGATTTCAATTGGACATTTCTTAGTAACCAGCAGTGATATTGGACAAATTAATACGCGTTTGGCTATAAGGTAATGTACTTATTAACTACACAAGGTGCCAGTTACTGTAGCATTCGTCAACTTTGCATAGTAGTTTTCAATTATAATTAGAAATTATTCCATGTTCACCATAGTATACTATACCATCGTTATATGACTGAGCTATGTGTTGAAGGGTGACACTTACCGACGTCTCCTGTGAGACTGAACTGCCCATTTGTGGGGTGAATGAGAGCATCTGCTGTGACATTTACAATATCACCTTGAATAACTGTCATCTGTAAAATAGTATAATAAAACAAGGGAATAAATAAGGTATATATGTATATATCTATATGCATATACATACTGATATATATTTGTTTACTTGTATTTTTTCATTTATATATTTATTTATTAACTATTCATAGTCATCCTTTCATAATTATATAACAAGATGCAACAAAGCACGTTCATATATGTACAGCCTGTAGCTTGTCATTCAAGTACTACCCAGAGCCTTTTCATCAATTGTCTTCGCCAGATGGCGCCATACGCTAGCATGTATTTTACATCATCATAACCAAACTCCACGACAGATGGCGCTCTCGCTCATGGGCTCAATCTACTCAGTATCCTGAGTGTACGAAAGTGCACTGCATGCAGTTTGCATCATAACATGTATTTTTATTCCCCTGACAGAAAAAATGCTTAGATTGCAGAAATTCTTCTAGCATCTACTGAGACTACAAAAGATAGTTGAGTTGTTACACCAATTAATGTAACCACAAATTACGCTATTATAATTGTAAGGCGATATAATATTTCCCCACACCACAAACGATCGATGGAACGTTGCACTATACTAACTGACGGCTGTCCCAATGTTTTCATACTCTGGTTTCTCTGCAAAACGTATAAATCTTTCGCCTTTTACTAAAGATTTCCGTGCAGAGGAACAACTTAATGAGTCTTTAACTAATTTCTTCCACCCTGCTTCGGTAGGGTAACAACCAAACAAAAAATATGAAAACTATCTGGAACAGTACAGCTGAACTTCTTGTGAAGTTACAGCTGCTTAGCATGAAACTATCTGACTCCTAACGTACTGGTTGTTAGTTAGTTGTGATAACAAGGTTCAGCACTTGGACGCGTCTAAAACTAGCAAACGTGCACTTGATTTAGGTGAATGAAGTATTTTGGTGAGTGACAAGTTTGTGCCAGGTCGTATTACCCTACATGTTAAACAAAGTAGTCATGCACAATAGCAACACACTATATATCTCACGAGGTCATCTCTGCTGGCACCACACAAGCATGCAATGCGAAGAAAATGTCTGCTGTTTGACTTTCGAAAGGCTTTGGTGAGTGCCAACTATACTAAAGCCTTTATATAAAGTAAATCGTACTGGTTTTCCCAATCTCCAACAAAACACATTGAACCAGTCAATGATATTTTCAGTCACACTAAAACAGCAACAAATGGGAGGCTCCTGCTTTTTGCATGCTTTTTCTCACAACCTCGCACAAACGAACGGGTAGAGACGAAAAATGTCAACGAAAGAGTAATAATCAACATGTGACTAGACACGCAATCATGCATTTTTCGTGTGTTCAAGCAGGTGGGCTATAAATTGATGACGTAATACAACACTGGGTAAAAATCTGCATGCCACGTACCTGACAGGGCAACTAAAACAACGCAGGTTTGTTGCGGGTTTGTTGTGGTGAGCGTACATACGCTATTAAAATTAGCTAGCTCCACTATGGAGCGTGGGAACTAAGCTTGCTTGTAGCGACAAGTGGTATTGTACCTTCTGCCCAAGGAACAGCTTCTTCTCCGAGAGAATTGTCACTCCCGTCACATCCTGCTTCGTCTCCTGCAAGCGGGAAATTTTAATGTCAAATTGATGGTGTTGGGGAGTCTGAAGGCCTATTTACACGATGCGTCCTAGATGTACGTCCAGGACTTATCAGATTTGCACGTACGTCTAGGACGCAACGGTGAATCTGTTTACACGGTAAGTTTTGGACGTACGTCCAGGACTGAGAACAATATATACACATCAGGAGTAGATAATAGGGAATTATCTATTTCCTATTATCTACTCCTGATATACATTGTAAAATGTGTGTGTGTGTGTGTGTGTGTGTGTGTGTGGTGTGTGTGTGTGTGTGTGTGTGTGCTGTGGCGTGCACGTGTGGCGTGTGCGTGTGTATGTGTGTGCATGTACCGTAACCACACACCTCAGGCAGACGCGCACGCACATCGCATGTGTGTGTGTGCATGTGTGTGCGTGCATGCGTGCGTGCCTACGCCACGTAAGAGACTTAACTAGAGAGCGCGTGCTGCTGCCGACATTTTACAGCGGCTGTGTCCATGCACACAGACACACAAGCACGCACGCACGCACGCAATGAACGCCACACACGCAACGCGCACACGCACATGCACACACGCACACACACACACACACACACGCGCACACACACGCCACACGCACACACACACACACACACACACACACACGCGCGCGCGCACACACACACACACACTACTTTTATGGTAATTGTCTGAGTGGACATTCCACAGTGACGATTCATCTCGATACAACACTGTTCATCGCGAAGAGACTAAGCACGTGACCCAATCTCACCCACCCTGATTGTCGTGTTCTTGCGTCCTGGTTACGATGTGCGATGAAATTAGAACATGCGTCCTGTGCATCCGATATCGCAACGGTCATAAAATTGTGTCGTACCGCATAGTTTACACGGTGCGTTTTGGACGTATGCGTCTGGTGTACGTCTAGGACGTACGTCCAAAACGCATCGTGTAAATAGGCTTTAAGAGTATTAAATTGCATACTATATGAACCCTCATTTGTCATTATCTAGCAACATCTATCTTTCTCTTGCTCCCTTATTCCTTACCTCCCTTCCTCCCTCCCTGCCTCCTTCCACCTCCCCCTCGTCTTTCCTTCTGCCGACCCTCTTTCTTTTGCTATCACTCTCACCCTTCTCTCTATCATTTGCTCCCCTTCTCTTCCTCTCTCTATCTCTCCACTCCCTTCCACCACTCTTTCCTTCTCTCTCTCTCTCACCTCCCCCTCAGCTTTCCTCCCTCCCGCTCTCTTTCTTTTGGTATCACTCTCCCCCTTCTCTCTATCATTTGCTCCCCTTCTCTTCCTCTCTCTCTCTCTCTCCACTCCCTTCCTCCACTCTTTCCTTCTCTCTCTCTCACCTCCCCCTCATCATTCCTCCCTCCCGCCCTCTTTCTTTTGCTCTCCCTCTCCCCCTTCTCTTTATATCATTTTCCCCCTTCTCTTCCTCTCTGTCTCTCTATCATTTGCTCCCCTTCTCTTCCTCTCTCTGTCTCTCCGCTCCCTTCCTCCACTCTTTCCTTCTCTCTCTCACCTTCCCCTTTGCATTCATCACAGGCTTCTTCGCCCGTATCGTTGCGGCGGTTGCTTTCTTAGGCAGGGACTTCAACACCTTCCCCGCCGCGACCTTGGGCGCCTTCTTGGCGCCGGCCGTCGAAGAACTGAGAGGAATGAGTGGCGGTGTGAGAGCAGATGTCTGGAACTTCCCTCCCTTCTTTGGCTTCAGCAACTCGGGCTGGATCTTTGGCAACACGCCTCCCTGAGCTATTGTAACGTTTTTCAACAGCTGAAATTGACAGTGCGCACGCTTACATTATGTGTACATTGTCGAGGCGGCGGAGACAGGCATGGCTGATTACTATAAACACGAGGCATATGTAGCGTACATCTCTCCTAACAAATATTGGATAACAAACTGAGCATATTACTTTTAGTTCGACGATGTCATTACACAGTTTTTAGAAAATATCAGCTATACCAATGCTACATACAATTAAAGCTAATTATTCCCCATTGCGCATCATCAAGTATCATTGTTTCGTTTCCGTGGCAACGGACGCGCTGATCAAACATTGGTAACAATTAATTGTGCTTACTTGATTCAACTCCTCATCATTGCCTACGGCCAATAGAATGTGGCGTGGCGTCACCCGACCTCGCTTATAGTCTCGTGCGGCGTTACCTGCCAATTCTAGAATCTCGGCTGCAACGAAACAAAGTTATGCTGATAGGATCTATGTCGCCCAGGGTACTGCCGGAATGTACCCTGGGTACGATCCGGTATACCGGAACGTACCCTGGTACTAAATACTACTATCTAATATGCCGGACCGTACCTCGCCTACTCCACTAACGAGTCTAGGGAGTCGCCTACGCCTACCCCAGGCCCTAACCATAACCCTAACCATATCAGCTAGATAGTTACCAGGGTACGTTCCGGTATACCGGACCATACCCAGGGTACGTTCCGGTATACCGGACTATACCCAGGGTACGTTCCGGTATACCGGACCATACCCAGGGTACGTTCCGGTATACCGGACTATACCCAGGGTACGTTCCGGCAGTACCTTGGGGGACATAGACCCTATCAGCCAAAGTTATAAAAGACATCTGGTTGGCATCGCAAATCACGACCGGATTCTGAAGGTAATGCTCACACTTTGGGGTTCAAAGGAAACATAAGCGTATAGGGGCCATATAAGTGCCTTTTTAGATGGTAACTGATAGTTTATTGACCATGCACCCGACGCCATATTGCTTTTAAACAGATTAGACTATGTCGAAGTGAGTAATGTATTAACGCTAAAGTAAAGTGAAATAACGACACGTCATCTGAGAAAAACCACATTAGACATAACTTTGTGATTTTCCATCTCAATAATCACCGTGTGCTAGTTAACTTGGAAGATATTTACCGCTTAAATACTCGATGACAGCGGCCATGTAGACTGGGGCACCCGCCGCAACACGGTACTTGTGTGTTAGCCTCTTCATGTACCGTTGCATTCTCCCCACGGGGAATAAAACACCGGCTCGGGCCGACTTGGAAGTCTTTGTCCTCTTCTTTGCAAGACGTCCCGACATTTTCGATATATTTTGCACGCGCTAGAATTCACAAATATACTAAAGTAGTAAGGGTATGCAAATAGATTTATTCTTGTTGTGCTCCCGTGGCTTCTCCAGCGCCGTCTATCGCCCTGCCACATTGATTTTGGCTATTACTTCTCCAGTCTGCATCCCCTCTGCGCTGGCTAACTAAACTGACTTAACCTTAAAGAAATAACCTTATTTGAATTTGTGTACTATTCCCTAGCAAGTAGTAATAATTAATAGATTATTTTTCTATGTTATCTATTCATTAAACCTGACAAATGGTTCGTCTAGAGCACATAGACAATCAGTTTTAACATTTAAATTTCACTATTTCTAGGGTGCAAGCGTTAAACACAAAACTTTGCTGTGGTATTTGCTATTAAATTTTAGCTTTCCACTAATATAGAATTATTGGTATAAATATTACAATCAATTATGATTTTAATCAACTGCATAAATTTTATTAATAATGTGTTACTATCTCAATTGATTGATCTAATAATTCATTATAAATTTTAGCTTGTTTGGAAGAATTGAACCGCTTGGAGAACCGGTATCTGATAATAATAATATATTGAAAAGTATAGTGCATGCATAAACAGACAACCCCAAGCATCAGGCCGTTAGAGTTACAACTGTCTTTTGTGCAGCTCTTCCAAGGCTTCTTGACACTGCACATAAAGCCACGGCAACATTAAACAACAAATCACATATACAAACAACTCGCAACAAATCACTACAATACAATTGATTTTATTGATGTAAAACTGAAGAGTAGGCAGTGCATGACGGTTCCGAACATGCTTACAATGGAGAGAAGGGGTAAGAGGGAAAGAGAAAAAGAGAGGGGGGGACAGAAGAAGGAGGAAGGGGAGGGAAGAAGAGGGAGAAAGGGGTGAGGGAGAGAGGGAGAGGGAGAGGGATGGAGACAAAAAGAGGAAGAGAGAGACGGAGAGAGGGAGGGAGGGAAGGGGAACGAGGAGGGATGGAGGGAGAGAGGGAAGGAGGGAAGGAGGCGGTAAACCCCGGCCCACACGTGAGTAATTTTACTCAAGTAAAATGATGCATGCGTCAAAATACTCACGTGTGCGCCGGATTTTCGTTGAGTTTTCTGACGCATGCATCAAGAAACTCAATATCAAATATGTTTGATAATTTTTGACTCATGCGTCAAAATACTCAACGTGTGCGCGCTAGCTGCGTAAATTTACTCAACACTCGTACTCACAGCGCAGGCGTTTAAATCATTTTAAAGATGACTGTGCCCAGTATTGGCTACGCACAGTCATGTGATCTATATTACCACTTATACCTCGAGTAATTTTACTCACGTGTGCTGCGGACGCTGAAAATATTCCGTGTGAGAATTTTTGACGCATGCATCATTTTACTTGAGTAAAATTACTCACGTGTGCGCCGGGCTTAATGGAGGAGGGAGGGAGGGAGGGCCAAGGAACAAAGGGAGAGAGAGCGAGGGAGAGAGAGAAAGAGAGAGACTGAGAGAGCGAGAGGGAGAGAGACTGAGAGAGCGAGAGAGTGAGTGACTGAGAGAGCGCGTGAGTGAGAGAGAGTGCGAGAGAGGGAGAGCGAGAGAGGGAGAGCGAGAAAGAGAGAGAGAGAGAGAGAAAGAGAGAGAGAGAGAGAGAGAGAGAGACCAATCACTCCATTCAGCTTCATCTAAGAGAGAGAGAGAGAGAGAGAGAGAGAGAGAGAGAGAGAGAGAGAGAGATAGAGACCAATCACTCCATTCAGCTTCATCTCGTTGTTGTGATCACCGTATAATCACGCTCATACATAACGACCATATCCACAACAGAACACGGGATTACAGACGCGTGCTGGTGATGTCCGTCGTGCGACATCGTAAAGCCTAGCGCAGACTTGCGACTTTTCGTTGCTCGTCGCTGCAACCTGAAACCGCATGTGATCGGTCGCACGCTTCACCGTGCGTGCGCATGCAAGCGATTTCGAAGCGATTTCGGAGCAATTGGGAGCGACGAGTTGCTGAAAATCAAATCAGTTTGATTTCTTTTCAACTCGTTGCAAGCGACCAGAATCGCTACGAGTTGCAGTTGCACGCTCCCGCAGACATGTAGATTTCACAGCAATTTCGACTGCGATTCTAGAATCGCAGCCGAGTTGCATGAAAAAGTCGCAAGTCTGCGCTAGGCGAGATCGTTAGTGATAGTCAAGTGCTAAAGACACGCTGCACACGAGGCGCGCGACTTTCATGTAGGTGCAAATGTTGAGAAACACGGGAAACGCGCACGCTACTGCGCGACGACACAGTCGGCTAGATAGACACGCTCTATTGTTTCGCACGATTCGCAACGACGAGGTTCATTCACAGGCGTTGCATTCATTTAGGTTTTATCCAACCAAGTACAACCGCGCTCCAACTAAATAATCTCGCACATAATATATAGATAGGGTCAAACAATTAAGGATGAAGAGAGACCAAGAGGAAGTGGCAAAGGAAGAAGATGAGAGAGATTGGGTAGACGGCAAACTTGACAGATTTTTACTTGACAATTATTCCACTATTTAACTAATGAGATGCTCAGAAGTTAAAGTATCGCATATCATATCTTCATGTTATGACCACATATATATATATATACACATCGGTGTGGTACACGAAGTAGACGTCCTCCGGTAACCATGACAACACTACAACACTTTGTAGCGGTTCTTCTGAGCCGGTTGGTACTGGTAGGAATTTTGCTGAAACACGAGAACACGCCAGAATGAGTACAAAACAACACCAAAACCTAACATATAAAAAACATTAGGAAAATGAATAGCTGCAGCAGAAATAACAAATATGCGACGCCGACACAAATTGGTGCGCATCGTGGATGTATACGATATATTCTATTGATGTATATGTTTGTAATGGTGATTCAGGCGTATTGGAGTATGTGTCTGGATTGCTATTATATATGGTCAAAATGATTAGGGATGCAGCTGGTTAAGGTACCTTTTGTATTTAAGTTGGGATATGATCGAGCTACACATGATAAATCACAGGTAGACAGAGGCTTGTAAATGTGTTCACATTCCCTGATTTTAGTGTGGCTTTTTACTCTTGGCGTCGCACTCACAACACAATTACACGCATATTGGACGACGAGTTGCGTTCGTGTCCGTCGGTGAACTAATTTAATTGCTTATAGTCACTAAAGTGACTTACCAAGCCACCACTTATCGCCTCCACTTACATCGCACTTATTGCACGTATATCCACAGCCGCATCCACTTATATCGCCTGTATCCTCACATATTGCAGTAGGACGCTACGCGGCTGGCTAATAATCAGGCCCCCCTATCACCTTTACGAATATGCACGCCTGTCGCCTATTAACTTTCACTGGCATTAATATAACATCGTTACACTAACGAGCGTGCAGCGTGCGGTATGGTACGACGACCAGTTGCGTTAGTGACCATCGGTAAACTAGTCATATTTATTAGTCGCTAAAGCGCAGGAAAAAAATGTACTTTTTTTTCACGGGAGCTCTTTTTCAAGTCTGTGGAAAAAATAGCTCACGTCAAAAATTTGTCGGAGCTATTTTGAGCCTCACGTGAGCGATTTCGGAGGTTTGAAGAGCGAATCGCTCGTCGCTCCCACTATTTTTTACCCTGCTAAAGCGTTAACGAGCGCGCTCACCAGTCTAACGAGCTCCTCCTTGATGAGACGCGTCACCTCGGCCTTGGCGACGGCCAGCGAGCGCTCGTTCGTGCTTTCGATGGCCAGATAGAGCTTCCTCTCTGCGGCGGGCGGGTCCTTGTTCGGCAGGCAGTAGGTGCCTCTCACCGTGATGCCCGCCTCTGAGTACTCACAGATCTGCTCCAACGCCTCCTGTAACCGCGGCGATGAATACAAACATTATTATTATTATTAAATCTTTATTGCATGTAATTCAGATACAAATACTGACAACGGGTTTTTTCATGGATAAAAAATCTGATAAATGCAATAGTGTTGAGTAGTTCAATTGATGAAATTTCTGACTGATACAGACAGTACAATACAATGCTATACAACATGAAGAAAAAATATATACAAAAAAAAACTTCAGTATGTTCTGTACTAGTAAAGTGATTAAGGTAAGTGTTGAGTAGTTAGAATGATGTCTGTCGTGAGTCATGCAACATGAGTCCTAATCAAATCTGATAACTTCGGTCAGCTTTGAGAAATCCTCCTGATAGGAGGCGAAACGTCAGCAGTACGTTTTGAATCAACACGGTCGAGTAAAAATTAACCAAGATAGCTCTATTATCTACCAACCGAATGAACTTATTTAATGAGTTATGAGTCATAATGTTTAATTGCGGTTACTGACAACAGCGGCCCCTGGTCGCCAGTGCACGTTTACCTTAGGCCTAAGTAACGAGAAATCTACAGGTAAAAGATGCATGCACTGACCTTAGAGGTTACCCTCCAGCGGCAGGTCTGTGGGAAGTCGTTGATCTCCAACTCCAGCTCGTATCTCTTCAGCGTTTCCGTCTGCTCCTCAGCCTCCGGCTTCTCCTCCGTCTTCGTGTAGTTGAGCTTCGCGTGAATGCGGTCGGCCATCTGCTGCGCAATCGACTTCGCCTGCGACACACACGGATACGATCGTTACCATAGTTACCACCTCTGCCTCTTCATCGTCTCCTGATCCCAACCATGCCTGCCACATGTGGATACGACCGTTACCATAGTTACCACCTCTGCCGCTTCATCGTCTCCTGATCCCAACCATGCCTGCCACACACACACACGGATACGACCGTTACCATAGTTACCACCTCTAACTCCTCCGCTCCTCTTCTTCATCCCCACCACACCTGCCACCCATTAATACATAAGAGTTGCTATAGTTATGCCCAGTGCATCCTCACCCCCTCCTCATCATAACCTCCTTTCCTCAGAGACGGTGGGTCCTGCAATGCGTCCCCCGCTCATCATAACCTCCTTTCTCTCCCCCTCCTCCCCTCTCTCCCTCACTCCTTCACTCACAGAGACGGTGGGTCCTGCGATGTTCTCCCCCCTCCTCCCCTCCTCTCCCTCTCTCCCTCGCTCCTTCACTCACAGAGACGGGTGGGTCCAGCAATGCATCCCCCCTCTCATCATAACCTCCTTTCTCTCCCCCTCCTCCCCTCTCTCCCTCACTTCTTCACTCACAGAGACGGTGGGTCCTGCAATGCGTCCCTCACTCAGAGATGCCAACACATATTTGAAGCAATCTGTAGTTTCTGGCCATCAAAATAGTAGTTCGAGGGTCACGCAGTGACCCGAGTTTGCTAGGGGGGTCCGGCATGCCCCCCGGAAAAATTTTTGATTCTGAGATGCAATTTCATACATTCTGAGGGTCAAAAATGACAATAAATTGACAAAAAATGACAATAATTAACAAAAAAATTGTTTTTTTCGATCACAGTGAAATTCGTAGTTTGATACAAACTCGTCGTAGTGGTGCAAAAGGAATAGAAATTCTTAAAAATACGGATAAATCGTTAGAGTGCGTTTGCATCTCTGCTACCTATCATAATCTCCTTTCTCTCACCCAACCTCTCCCTCCTCCACTCCTCTCTCCTCATCCTTCTATCCCTCACAGAGACGTATGGGTCTTCGATGTTCTCCCCCCTGCCTCCTCCTACATCCTTCTCCCTCACAGAGACGGGTGGTTCCTTGCGAATGTTCTCCCCCTCCTCCCCTCCTCTCTCCCTCACTCCTCTCACCACAGAGACGGATGGGTCCTCGCAATGCATCCCCATCACTCACATAACTCCTTTCTCCTCCTCCTCTCCTCTCTCCCTCACCGCGATCATCTCGACAGGGACTGGTGGCCGTCCTGGCAATGATCCCCCGCTTCATCCTAATCCTTTCTCTCCCCTCCTCTCCCTCTCTCCCTCACTCCTTCACTCACAGAGACGGTGGGTCCTGCAATGCATCCCCCCACTCATCCTAACCTCCTTTCTCCCCACCTCCTCCCCTCCTCTCTCCCTCACTCGTTCACTCACAGAGACGGTGGGTCCCTGCGGATGCGTCCCCCTCCTCCCCTCTCCTGTCCTCCTCTCCTCACTCCTTCATCCTCACAGAGACGGTGACGGGATTCACTGCGATGTTCGCCCCCAATCCTCCCCTCCCTCTCTCCTCCTTCTTCCACTTCACAGAGACGGTGGGTCCGCCAATGCATCCCCACTATCAATAACTCCCTTTTTCCAACCCTCCTCCCATCCTCTCTTCCCTCACATCGTTCACTCACAGAAGACGGCGGTCCCGCGATGCGTCCCCCCTCCTCCTCCTCCTCCTGTCCCTCTCTCCCTCACTCCGTTCACTCAAGAGACGGTGGGCCGCAATGCGTCCCCCTCCTCCCTCCTCCTGTCCGCTCACTCTTTCATCACAGGACGGATGGTCGCTGCTATGCGTCCCCATTCACGCCGATAGCTATGCTGCTGCCGTCATGTCCTAGGGCTGGTTCACGCGAGGTTCTTTTCCATGTGATGCGCGTTGCCATGCGCTTCGCCATCTCCAAGCTTCTTGCTGGTCGCCGAGGTGCAACAACAATGACAGGCATGAGAAACAGGGGCCCAGTTGTCAGAAACAAGAGCCGCAGCAGCGTCGTGGGCTCATCTGAGGTCTTTGCTACGGGTTATAAACTACATTTAAGTCGGTGCGTCAGTGACACCTTTTGTTACGGCGCAGATATGCAGATACGCAGTGCTTTACACATCATTTTTAGCACCTTCTGCATACCTCCCAAATCCCATTGGTTGATACAAATCGCGTGCCTGAAACTCCTGTTTCATGGTGCATTGTGACCCTAACCCTAACCCTATTAAAAAATATAGATAAATTAATTGTTGTACAAATTATTTGTTGTTATGAAATTGTTGTAAAAATTATTTGTTGTTATGAAATTGTTGTAAAAATTATTTGTTGTTATGAAAAATTAATTGTTGTAAATAAATCATGTAAATATTTTCCTTAATTGGAAAGAAATAGTTAAATGGATAAAGATAAATACAGAAAACAGGTAAATAATAAAAAATCTGATGGGATTCGATCCAAGGACCTTTGAGCCGTAATCCTGTGCTGTAGCCGTTTGGCTATCAGGGCATATTGGGTTTCCAGATTATGGATGTGCCATGAATATGAGAACACTGTCTTGAGGGTCAAAAGGTTATCCGACACTTACTCTTCGCATCAATAAAGCCATAAAAATGTTAGGTCAATGCTGAAACAAAAAAGTTTTCCAATGTCCTCAGAAAATGTCTAAAATCTGCCCTGTGCCCTATTGACCTTTGACCTTCGACTTTCAAATCCGTACGTCGAGCCGTTTCGATTTGTGCCCAACTGTTGACGCACGCACGGACGGACGGACGGCCGGACGCACGCTCATGCGATTCTACAAGCTGCATCCGACTATGTCGTATGTCAGATGAGCTAACAAAATTAGTCTTAACATTAGTCTTAACACTAAAATTTTTTCGTAGACCGTCGACAGCACTTTGTTTCGTATTCTTACGAGGAAATCTGCTACGATTTTTCATTCAGGTAACTTCGCAGCGTTTCTGTCGACGGTGTCGAACGAAGAGAAAAAGTTAATGCTGCTAAGACTAATGTTAAGACTAATTTTGTTTCTAACAACAGGACCCAGGTTGAGATGTTTTTGGAGGAAACATTTCAATTCGTGCCTTCGGTTTGCGTCGCACACTGTCCTGCTAGGGGGGTCTGGCGCCATGGCCCCAGGAAATGTTGGAGTGTTGAGTGGAAATTTGGAAGTGCAGATAGGCCATTTCCATGCATCCTGGTGGAAATTGTAAGTCTATGCTGTTCTTAGTAAAAGACCAATTTCATGACTAACGATTCAAAGTCTTGTCATTTTCTATGAACCGTTGTCACAGAGTTTCCGTACCTGTAAGAATTAGGTAAAAACCCTTTACATTACATGGTATTTATCTGGAGTTCCGTTACTTGTGTGTGAAATTTGACATACTTTTCCTAACATGAGGTTTATATTAAAAATGGCATCCATTTTGACAAGAAAAATACACCTTACTCCCCCTCAAATTTTTATTAGTTTTTTTTGCATCGATCTCAAGAATGACCAAAATGAGGCAATCCGCGAATCCGCGAGAAATTCTCATGCCTGTGTATAGCAGCGCTGGCTGGTTCGGCGAATATTCACGTCCATGGTGACAGGTGCTTACCGGACGGCTGGGCAGGTGGCGCCACCGTGACTCCTGACTGCGAGTTCTGGTTTTTGACGGTGACGGTGATGTCTTTGACAGTCTTCTTGCTAGCGAACATGTCCTCAATCTGCTGGTCGATCTGAAACACATGAGAAAACAAGTGAACGTCACAGAAATAAGCGAGCGCCGAGCGCTAGATGGCGCTGCCGTCGCTGAAACCCGTCTTTCACGTTGCCACAGCTAAGTTGATTTCACGGACAGATTTATTATATTAATGGTAACTTGGCACATGTAGTATAATATAATTTTTGGGTGCCCTACTGGGCTACTGGCCTAGTGGGCTAGTGAAGAGATTCACAGTTTTCACTGGCGGGTGGCACCACATACAAGGCTCTCTTCTTGGCACCGTAGTACCAACCATGTTTTCATGTCGCCGCTTATATACAGGGATGAGATCGGAGAATTTAATTTTCAGCTGAAATTGAAATTAGCAAACAGAGGAGCGAGCAATGCGAGGACCGTAGGTCATCGCCATGCTAGGGGGCTCCGGGGGCATGCTCCCCCTAAATTTTTTTAAAAGAATGGTGCAATTTGGTGCATTCTAAGCTATTCTGTACACATTATAGGAGACTCTTGAATCACTTTTTCAAGTTGTCAAAAGGAACAAACGAACTATGAATAGGAAATCAGGGGGCTGAAAATAGGGCAAGTTTTTTTATTAAATGTCTAGACATAATGATATTTTTCTGTTACCACCCCTCGCTTGCATTGTTTTACTCAGACATAAGCTGCCTTGCTGCGACGAGATTTGAATGAAAAAAACACAAGCAACAATCGTTGAAATGAACAATCAGTGCATAGTTCCTGCAGCACAACATGCAACCAACAGCAACATGTTGGAAACCCGGCCCCCAAAGGGCCAGGCATGGTCGTTTACGTGAAGTCAGCTAGCCTCAAATGTTCGGCCCCTCTACTGCAGGGCCTGTGAACGAGGTGATTTTTCCTTTTTGCTGGTCCACCACAAAACAATTACCACTGTATACTTCGCTGCCAGTTCTAACTGTCCCTACACCTCCTAACAGGCTACAGTTCAGGTGGCGGCGCTCGTATTTTGAGGTTATAAATTTAAATGTTTTTTCATGTTAACCGCCCCCCCATTTTTCCTGCACGAATTAGACGTTTTTTTCCCACAAATCGACCCCCTGGGAACTGGTCCCAAATCCCGCGGATTTTCCCCGCGGATTCTGGCGGCGAAAATCTCATCCCTGTATATAAGATGTGCATGATATTGGAGCAGTAACATCATTAAAGACAGAGCAAAGGTTCACACAAACGACTATAGGTGGCGCCTACATCGACTGCGTCCTCCTCGTCGGAATCCTGCAGGCCGAGAGCAGCCTTCTGCAGTTTCTTCCTCTCTGTCGCCATCTGGTGTTCGGTTTCCCGTCCATTTAGCCATTGGCGCGCCGAACAAGCACTTCACCGCTACTTTGAAAACGCCCGCCCCCCCCCCCCTCTTCTTTCCTTCCTGCAAGGTCAAGTGATGCGCTGGATTAACACATGTACTGCCAAACACACGCATACACATACATGCCCAGGGGTAGAAATGTAGACGTAATACACAATTACACACACACACACACACACACATGTACATGTGTACGCAAAAAAATATGTCGTTTTTCGGCATGTTAGTTCTATCCCTAAGGCTAGGTGGGTGAGGAATGACAACTTCTTCGTCGCTTAGTACAGCAACAATTTTTTCATAAGTTATTATGTGCAATTCCAAAAATAACTAGAGCACTCGGAGAGCACAGACCTCCGCCAAGGCAGCTCAATTATCTCACTGTGAAAATTTTTATTAATTAATTAATTAAATAATATAATTGGGATCAGGAATCAACCAACCAAAAAATTGTAAATCAAATTTTAGTTAGCCGCCATTTCTGACTTATCTGAAATTTAATGACAACTCCGTCGCATAACTTTTTTTTCAGTTAGGCTGTAGCACGCACAAACCAAACAAACCACAACGCCGGTGAAAACATAACCTCCTGCCTAACGCCCTTGGCGGAGGTAAAATTACAAGTCCCGCCAGCTTACTAACCAATTTTACATAACTCAAACGTCCCGCTTGCAATTTTTTTTGTAATCAATTTTGCGGCGCGCACAGTGAAAATTAAAATGGAAAATTCAATGCGAAAAAGTAACACACGCTCACAGAACAAAGACATAATCGAAGCGAAATTTATAAAGCCGCCAGGGGTCGCGGAAATAACGCGAGTCGCGAAGTCAAATACTCCTGATTTACTTGTTTGACCTCCTCTGATTTTGAGCATATGGCAGAAAGGAAGTAAAGCGTGTGAAACTCCCTGAAAAAATTCTTGCTATACTACTAGTTTGTGTTTGTAAGCCAGCGGCCCTCGGCGGAAAATTGCCGATTTTTTTGCCCAGCGATTTTGTCCCCAAAGATAAAATTTGGCAGACGTTTTGCAACCACATGAATCCTTAATTAAAGTGTCCAATTGACACTTTGTAAACTCACCACAAAAAAAGGACACAAATGCGTGAGTGAAGAAGAAAGTTTCAGTTTTTAATTGAGGCAACCATCGACCCTACATGTATGGGAAACGAAAGAATATATATTGGGAGAACTCCATTAAATATATCTGGATAATTATTATTGGTGTAATTTTTTTTATGTGCAAATTAAATGTTTGAGATGTGCAAGTCCCTGAGATGTGGCGAGTGGATGGCGTTACAGCCCTAAATTGAATCGCCATTGTAATATCGTTTTTTAGTAATTATTCCAGATTTTAGGCACTGCCCGCCTAAAAGCCGAGCTTATTTCCAACGTAGCTGCCTATATACCACGTGAACAAATGGTGTGTTTTTCCCTGCCCATAAACACAACTTTTGTCAAAGTTAATTTGGTTTGGCATGGAAAATTGTTTAGCTTCCTATGATTTTTTTTCCCCTGGCGTAAACCACAGCGGTTGGGGCCCGCCCAATCTGTATATCGGGGGCAATAATAATTTTAAATAAACCAAAATAAAATTCAAATTTGTGAGGCGGTAAGATGCGCCTATACCCGCCTTTGATTGTTCCCTTAGCGGATGCCGAGTTTGAAATAAAAAGGGTTTTTATGATGCGCTCCGACAAGTGAAATTTGTAAAACTTTTAAGCTCTTAATATAGAGCGCCGTTTTTTAATCGGCAGGGTGGAAAGCGGAAATACCGCAATTTTGGCGCATTACAAGATTTTATTGTCCAATGAACCTCTGTAAAAGCGAACGCAGACGAGTGGTGGACAGCCAACAGATCTGGGTTTGTTTTAATCTTGGCGTGTCCTATATAGAATATGCTTTAAATATTGGGCAAAACGGCTACCTAACTTTTTGCATAATTTTTTTTTTTTTTTAAATATCAATAACGGCCCTAGCCTTATTCATTCAATGCCCAAAAATAAGGGCAAAATCCGTTTGTACCTGAACTGACTAATGCGCAAATTCCGCCATTTTTTTGGAAAAAATTGCCGTAGGCTTTCGAAAAGTAACGTCGCCTGGGCCCGGCCCTCCAAAATAGGACGTTACATATTGGAAACAATAGCAGTTAACAACTTATACCCGAATTTCCAGAACATAGTGGGGTCAAACGGTTCCTGAAAGTTTTATTCGTGAACCAGTTAAGCCAAATGTTGAAACTGGAGCGGACGCGACGTAAAGCCGGACCCGACGATCCATGGCAAATAAGGCTTTCAGGCGCTTGGAGCTGTCAAGGTTGAGCTGAATAAGGCACAGCGCGTTATTTGTTAATATCTTTAGTTTTTGAAAGCTTCCAGACCTAAGCCTCTTTTTGAGGGCAGGGAGTCCATTGGACTCCCTTGTTCAAAAGTTAATTTCTACCCTTAATTTCTAACCGGCGAGCGTGGCGAAACCTCACCGACTTCATCCTGTCCTTGTAGGTCGAGGACATCTCCATGAGTTCATCCGGCATGGGTGCGCCGGATAACTCGAGCGCTCTCAGGATATCTCCGACGTATCGTTCCTGGTCCGGAGTGATGAACGTGTAGGCCGAGCCCTTGTTGCCAGCCCGGCCCGTCCGCCTAGACGCAGAGAACGAGAACACGTGTTAAGCGAATCTCCGAAGCAGAACAATGTAGTACACGTCGAATAGAATTTTGAATGCCGAGATGAAAAACAAGAGTATGTGTTTAAATGAAATTTTGACATGAAATACAAGTACGTGTTGAGCAAAATTTGGACGCAAAACAATAGCGTGTACCGATCAATGTGTATATTTGTATTGTTAAATATATAGTTAACATAGCTCGCATGTGTTTAAGGGTGCAGTACGTTAATGTTGCAATGAATGAGCACATCGACATCAGTAATGCATTGATGTTAATGCAGTAATGCAGTAATGCATTGATGTTAATGCAGTAATGCAGTAATGCAGTTATACAGAGTGCTCGGTGGTCCAGTGGTTAGGCCACGTATATTGTCCACCTCTCACTCCAAGGCTGAGTTCAAACCCCGGCCGGTGCAGTGAATTTTCTCAAGGTGTAAAAACCTGGCTTTCAACATTGGAGACTGTGAATCTCCCGTGGCTCGGATGACCAAGTAAAATGGTTGACCCGTCTCCAGTAATATTAAGGGCGGCTTTTAACAGACGGTGAGGAGCTTGCTAGCTCATGTTATATCTGTTACAAATGTACGGTTTTTAAATTAATAAAATTTTATTATTATTAATGCGTGGTCTGTGCGTGCACTCACCCACATCGGTGGACGTAATCCTCATAGTGATTCGGACAATCGTAATTCACCACCAGCACTAGTTGCTTCACGTCCAAGCCACGCGCTGCGACAGACGTCGCCACCTAGCAGGAAAGAAAGACAACAAACGTTAAAGAGCTGACCACAAAGCGGAATTCCAAACCGACCTGCCAGTATGCACTCGATCGCACATATAACACAAGGATTACCTAAGAAATAAATCATCAATTATTAACAAATTAATTACGTGAATCTTCTAGGCCTTCCCCCCTGGCCCTACCAAACATTTTCGACGTCATCTTTTTATGATGTACCACCAAGGGTTGCCACATTCTTCCCCCAGCCATCACAGATACAGAAAGTGGATTACCACACACTCACCAACAGGCTGATGTTTCCATTCTTGAAGTCAATGATGGTGCTGTCTCGGTCGAACTGGTCGATGCCACCATGCAGGGACAAGCATGGGTACGAAGCTTTCATTAGGTCCTTCAGCAGAATATCTATAGAGATATTCATGTCGCGTCAATTAAACGAATTATTTCATAAATAACTGCACAATCGAAGAAACAGTATAGTGAAATATAGTCCCATATAATAGCAAACATGTTACCGATTACTTCAGTGTCAAAATTACCATGGGTTTATGCTGTTATGATATATAAAATAGCAAATAATGCAGCCACATTCTTTCATATAGTGATAATTCCACCAGCGGCAACCACCAGATAAAAGTGCATTTCATTGAGCAAAGAAATGGTTCTAGACTGGTACAGTATCTCTTTTGCTGAATTCGAGTTAATGTGTAAAGGCACAGGGACAGGGTCTCGCGAGAAACAAGTGGCATCATCACGTAACCGCATCAACACGATGTAAACAAACCGATTTCAATCTTGAATTTTTGTGTGAAAATAACGATGTACGAGTGTTCTGAGACATGTTAGCATTACTTTAGACACTTGCTGTTATGTGAGCAATACCAGTAAATATTGTAGTGGACAGAAAGATATGAGAACAGTGAAGATGACCGTTTGAAATAATTACTTTAACACCAGGAGATGGCGCCACCGTGCAGGCACAGACATGGGTAAGCTCAAATTTTATGGGATTTGCTAGAACACGGGCGTCGAAGGAGGGTAACGTGATGTGGCTGCACTTGTGTTAGGATTAGGGTTAGGGTCAAGGTTAGGGTTAGGGTTAGAGTTAGGATTAGGTTTAGGGTTAGGGAAATAAGGCCATGTCTAGCCTGGAAGTATGACTGTGGAATCTTTCTATGGAAGATTTGGACTTTGAAGCGTACGAAGTGACTAGTGCTGCCACGTAACGGCACCCTCCTTCGACGCCCATGTTCAAGCAACACCCAAATTTAATTAGGTACTTCAGCAGAATCTCCATAGATATCCATGTTATGTTAACTAACAACAGAAGATGGCGCCACTGTTCAGGGAGAGGCACGAGTGCACATAGAAATTAGGCAGAGCAGAATAACAGTACATAAAGGATTTATACACCTAACATTATACACCTTTGGGACATGATCCTATTACCCAAATCAAGTCATTTTTAAATGATAGCTGAGGAAAGTTTGCTGAAGCAGTCTGATGTGGACACACACCTGTACAAACTGCATGCAGTGCCCCTTCGTACACTCAGGATACCACTGCCACAATGCTAGCACTATTTTTAAAGTGGGCGGAGCTCCGGGGAAATCCAGCGAATGGAGATTCGAAAACAGCGTATGATTTGAAAGAGGTAACTGGGCGCACAATTCGCATACTATTTCGTATCACTATTTTATCAAATTTTTCATGAAATAACGGGCGAATTTTTTATATCTTTGCAACTTTTATTAGTCCAAATCTTATTACATAGGATACAGGTAACGTGATTGCTGTAAAACGTGTAGTAAAAAAGCGTTACAAATTGTAACGGAAATCTACTTGTGGCAGTGGTGAATTGAGCGAGAGCGCCATCTGTCATGGAGTTTGACACCTGCACTCGTACACACATGCGTGCGTGTCTGCGAGCAGGTGCACACACACACCTGATGTGAGATCGTATGAGGAGGGGGACGTGCATTTCACTCAGGCCACAATTAAAAAAATCTTTGTTTGACCTCACCCGACCCTGGCTGAAAAGTTTGGGTAGGTAGGTAGGTAGGCTTTTTTGTAGGGGGGTCTTTTAACAAATTCAACATGGTGTCTACATGCTCGAGTGTGCTTGTGTGGAGATACCTTTTATCTTGAATGTTTCTTTTGCTTGGTACATATAATGTATTGCCTACAGATTTATATAATGTACAGTGATACAATTTGTTAAAAAGAAAAGAAAAAAAAATCAATAAATTTTTTTGAGTCGGCCCTTTTTTGGCGGGTCGGTCGGGTGAGGGCCAACAAACTATATTTTTATTATGGCCCTGGGTGTGAGTGAGATCGTGTGAGGAGGCAGACGTGCGTTTCCCTCACTCACCTGCGTTCTCCTGCTTGTCGACGAACACCAACACACTGCCCTTCTCCTGGTAGACTCCCAGCAGCTCCAGCAGCTTGAAGAACTTGTCGTCCTCATCAATCAGCAGCTGTAACGTAGCAGACAGACGTAGATAGATAGATAGATAGATAATAGGTTTATTGCAAAACTAGTATTAACAATAACAACGTTACAATTAAAATAAATTTTGCAAACACGATATCATCAGGCAGTATAGAGCTGAAATTGATGATATTTACAATAATATTATATGTCCCATGGTAAGACATAGATATCACTTAAAATATTGGTTCATAAAATTATATCACTACAACTAAAATACTCTTTAAGATTATATACAATATTTTATATAAACTCAGACGTAGCCGTTCCTGAGCGTAATGCTGCGTTTACGCCTATAGATTTTTGTCACGCAAATCGTACACGATCTTCAAGTGCATTCCAACACAATCGCTCTGAAATTCGTATTTGTTTGGAGTCGGTGAGTAGTCTAGGCCGAGTTGAGAATTAGAATACGCTCTATTCTCAACATCGGCGACTTGGACTGCGCGACCCGACTCCAACACAATCGAATTTCAGCGATTGTGAATGGAAATCGCTTGAAAATGCGTACGATTTATGCTGAAAAAAATCGATAGTGTAAACGCAGCATCAGTGTTACGATACAGCCTACTCGTACACGTCCGTAATGCTTCTGTTTAGACAGTGCCGGTGCGAAGACGTCGTGTATATTATATGACGACTTATTCTAATACATACGATCGGAATACACAAAGCAACCGCACGTCCAGTGCCACACGCGCCTTCCTTCTCTCGTAATTTCCTTTCTCCTCGCATCTAGTCGCTCCTGCATACCCCCAGCTAAACAGTAGTGCCGAGTTTGGATCTTCGGACCAGCGGGAACTCATGCTCTGTTCGCGCAACCTTATGTTGTACGTATTTACAGTACCACATGAGAGAGCCGTTGCGAAGTGACAACCGCCAATCGCTCATTAGCACTGCCCTGTGCGTGAGGGCACAGTAGGTTTAATCTCGCATACGACTCACGACCGCAGCACGAACGCGCCTGGTAGGACCGCGCAAGCGTAGTAAGGGATTGTATCGGTAAACAATATAGCTTTGACTTGATTATCTCTAAGCTCTAAATTATTCATTTCTAAATACTCGTGGGTGTAACTACAATGCACAGTATCATAGAAGAAATCAACAACGTCCCACTCAACTTCCCAACATTGTCACAGGCATCCATCCTCACTCCTCTCGCCACTGCTGTCCCAGAAATATGGCCATCTGGTTTGTCCCTCCCCCAGCCATTGTGAAAATGCATCGCAGCCCGTTAGGGTGCATCCAGGAAAAATTACGTTTTTTTTCAACGGGAGCTTTTTTCAAGTCTGTGAAAAATAGCTCTCGTCGAAAATTTTAGGGAGGCTATTTGAGCCTCACGGGTAGCGATTTCGAGTTTTGACGAGCGAATCGGCTCATCGCTCCGTGTATTCTTACCTCGGTGCATCGGCCGCTGGAACCTCCAAAGTGTTTAATAAGCACTCCCATATAGTCAGTGTTTCACTATGTTTTTTCGTTCAGAAATATGGTAGATGTACCAACCTACATTTTTTGGAAAGGTCATAGGCATGAGGAATCCGAAAAACAATGTTTACATTTGCGGAGATACGGTGCATGGCCGCCGATCTTTTGATTTTCAAATGGCGCGCCATAAATACATATTTGCCGTTTCTGCCTTTAATACCCTAAACAATTTTTAAAATATGCTAATCCTATGTTTTTTCAGACAGGAATCCATTGGTGACTATAAAGAATCTAACTGTAACACTTGTTATTTTTTTCAGAAATATTTGTTTTTTTTTTACTTGAAAAAACAATACAAAAATCCATTAATATATAGCAATATATATGCGTTTCGCAACATATAAACTGCCACGTTAGTTGGATCATAAAGCTTCTGCTCTATCTAGATCCAAAAGAGAATGAAACAGAGAGCACATCCAGGTGGGCAGGGTTCAAATCACTTTGTGTCAAGCTGGCCTAATGTCTGACGCACTGTCGCGACTACCACTGCTGCCAGAAGTGGGATACATAAGTGGGCCTACCATGCTGACAGGGCTCGAATTAACCGATCGCACCGACGCAATTGGCGTCGGGCTGCTACTCCATCTGCCGATACTGCACGCTGAAATCCAACCCGATCCTGACGGCAGTTCCATGCTTGCCCTTTTGTGTAAGTGCCGTCGGTGCCTTTAATCTACTGCTCTAGTTTCGTTTTAGTCGAGTCAACTCTAAACGTGCGCGTGTCGTGCTGTAGTGCAATGAATAGCTTAAAACCGATAGTCGGGGCAGGAGGGAATAATAAACAGCATCGGATTAATTATTTCGCTCCTGGGATACCGGGAATGTAAAATCTTGTTACTCGGTATACTTCCATTATGCAAGGGGGGTACAGGTCGGTGTTACGGTGTAGCTACATGGTGCTATATATGTTTTGTACATTAAAAACAGACCATGTTGATGTAATATTAATTTGTTATGAGTTTTCTTTATTTTACAAAAAGTGCCATTGGCTCTCCTAATTTTTGAAGTTGCTTGGTGCCTTTTAAAATGCTCTGTGCTTGCCATTTTAGAGAAAATTCAAGGGTGATTTCTCACTATGCCCCTAAAAAAAATTTGTGCTTGCCTTACTCGTTCGCTTAATAAGCCTGAGCTGACTGTGATTACTGGGCCAAGCATCCGAATTGAAGATCTTGGTGCGTGCTGGTGAAGAATACCCGACAGTGATTTCGTTCGACTGCAACTTCGACGAGAAGGCAGTTGCAGTTACTGGATTCAAGACTTGATGCTGAAAGAAGCAGTTTCCCCGTAGACCTGGTGGAGCTACATGCTGTGGATGGCTTGCGCGAGAGCTCTGATCGTCCATCAGAAAACTCAGGGATAGATGATGCGTTGGATTGAGTCTTGACGTATATCGGCTTCTGCACAACGCAGACAGATCCTCAAGTGCGCTAACTATCAAGAGAGCGTCTTCGTGCACACTCCAACTTATATGCTCTATCATGAACTTGATCCTGAATCAGTTTTCACAGAAAAGCCCAACCTTAAAGCATTTGCGTAGAAGCAGCATATAATGTGCAGGAAGCTTGTGGCAAAATTCAGCAGCTTGACAGAAAGGCCCCAAATCCTAAAGCGTGACAAGACGAATGACGACTACTACAACCTCACTAACTGACGACGTCATTCAACAGCTGAAAATGTTGGAAGCGCAGACAATCCAGCAAATGAATGTTCAAGTCTTGATGAAGCTTACATCACACGCGGTTGAAAAATCATTGTGCTACTTTTGTTGAGGCATCCAGGAATTCCAATCGTCGTTTCTCCCACCTTCAAGCTGGTGAGGTCACTAAGCAAGTTAATTCCCCCCTTTTTCCCCGCCCCGCCCCCCCCTGGAAAAAACTTCGTAATAAAATACAAGCGGCCTCTGGCGCAAGTTAACATTGCAGACTTGCATGAGTTGAAGACAAGGCCATCCAGAAAACGGAGTGAACTACAAGACGGAACATATCTGTGGGACCAAGAGTACGATCCCATTTATCTGCGATTGGAGCAGACCACGCCATATGAACGATACTCAACAGGATGATGAAGATTAATTCTGGTTAATTTGGCAATTCCAATAATTCAACGCTCGTCAACGGTTCTTTCTGCCACTCTGATATGTTACGTCTTTCACTGAATTCAAGGGCCGCAATCAATCTTGCGGTAAACAATGCCAGCAAGAGCATCATATGTTCAACCAAGGTGCTGTGAGAAAACGCATGACAACGTTGATCGCAATAGTGCCATATCTGAGTTGCACGCAATCCCTTCGCTGCTAGAAGGTGTACTCAGCTCTACAACTTTCATCACACATGCATATGTCCCACAAGAGAGTGCTCAGCAGATCCTGATATCGACGACACTGGGAGAAGCTGTATGTGGATTAAGCGTGTGCAGAACGGCATTAATGGAGATGTTCATCTTGTGGGCACAAGTCAAGAAGCAGATACAACAGATGTACTGTCAGGAAACAAGAAGCAAACGTAAAGATCCGTGACCAGTCAGTAGATCCGAAACGAAACGGAAGATCTATACGGTCGTTGATGTACTAGCCAGATCAAGCCGTGACATCGATCAAAGCCATGCGATTGAAGCTTATCTTTACGATTCACTCTTACCCGCCAAAGCATGTTTGCAATCCGACGTTCATCCTACCATGTTAAGCTGGACGAAAGCAAAGCTTATCCCTACTTGACAACATTGGTAAATACGACAGAACTCATGCTGATGCACAAGCAGCAGAAGCAACAGAACAGGCCTAATGAATATGCTGAATACAGGAACGTCCTCTACATCACCATCTATGAAATTGCTGTTGTTGATTGGAATTGGTGCTCGTCAAGAAGATGAAAAAGAATAGCCAGCGACAATGCTATATCAGTCAAAGATCTGGTCATTCATTCTAACGACCACTTATGAATAAACATGACAGCAGATCGACTGAACTATCTTGTATTCGACACATACAAGGCAGACTCATTAAAGCAGAAAACCAGAGAGAAACGACACAAAGGCAAGACGGCTTGTTCAATATCCAGATTGCATATGATACAACGTCGGATCAAAACATATACCAATGGGCCAGTTTCTATCTCACGAAAAGACGAAAGCATATATACCGCTTCTGAGCAACACTGGAATATACGGCATAACTCCCCTACTAATGCATTCACGTCAGCATCGGCCATTACTATAACAACGGCAGAGGCATGCAGTTTGACCCAAACAACCACGAGACTGTGACACATGATGATCAGCTAGCAGACCGCATCCGCAGACGTTATCTCTAACAGCAGCGTAGGTCTTCTTCACGCCACAGAACGACGTCCTAAGTTCTGGCTGTTGCCGCTCATGACAACTCTGCAAATAACACATCGATGGCCATGTATTCTAGGTATTGTGGAGGGGGCCTCACTGAGAGCAGGCTAGGAAGAGACAATTAAGGCAACAGCATTACCTGATCCAAGGCAGTTCACTGGGGCA